CTGACTATTTCTTACTGGTTACAAGGAGGATAATGTTAGCTCTTTCTCTGCTCACTTTGCCTTTCTACTGTAAAAGCTTTGGGCTGCCTCTTCCATACACAGCAGCCAAGAGAAAAATTTCCAGCCTCTATAACGAACTTGGATATAAAAGCAGGGAGGGTGTAAATGAGTATGCACTGAAGCATGGTCCCAGAGTGTAGCTACAGGATGATTTAGGCCTAGCTTCACAGATAACATAATATCCAGAAAGGCTGATGTTGTGTTTGTTAGCAAAATGGGGCATCGTTTGTAGCCAGGAGGAAGACTATGAGAACAATTCACAGGGAACACCTACGAAGAGGTTTTATTTCTCACCCTGCTGCTGTGTCTTCCAGAAGGAGCAGGATGAGAAGACCAGCGCAGTGAAGGAAGAGCTGAAGTACTGGCAGAAACTGCGGCATGACTTGGAGCGGGCGCGGCTGCTCATCGAGCTGATCCGTAAGAGGGAAAAACTCAAACGGGAGCAGGTAGGGAGTTTTGGCTGTCAGGGTGCTGCACTTACCTTTAGTCCCATGCAAGCTCCCCATGCTGCAGGGGGAACAGGACAGTTCTTCTTGAGCCTTTTCCTTTTCTTCCAGCGTCTGACTGTTGGATGTGCATCTCTCCCTGTGTCAGTCCCGGACTTGCACTGCTCAGCCTCTGCCCTCAGAAGCAGCACTGGGCTGCAGCAAGCTGGGAAAATGGATTTGCATAACTAATAGTGGCTTTGGTTCCTGACCTACAGCACTGCTTCTGGTTTTTGCAGTGTGGAAGTTAGATCTCCTTTAATAATTGTTGCAGGAGGTTGTTAACACCGACTCCAGAGAAAGGGCTAAATCACAATTCTACTCCTCATTTTTAAAGCTAAAAATCCATGGGGTTTGCCCTCTTAAGTCCATTTTTTTAGAAGAAAGAAGTTTTAAGATGGAGACCATTTACTAAATTTTCCAATTTCTTCTTTGATCTGTGTGCTGTTCTCCAAAGTTGCACCAGTTAAGGTTGCTTCCCAAGCTTACGAGCTTTGCCTGTTGAAGGTCTTTGCTTGCCATGCCTGGTTGGTCTCTGCAGCCACAACTGTGCTCTCTGGCACGAGTATCTTTGAGGACAGCTTCATTAAAGACTCGCCCTGTGCACTATGAGCCTATATGCATGGCCTCAGTCACTGCCTCGGTGCTCTCAGGCTGTCTGCAGGGAACCAGGCAGAGGAAAAGCAGCATCCTCTGTGATCACAGCTTCTCTGCGAGCTGTTTTTTCATGGCCAGAAACTGCCCACAGCTTTTTTGATGGACCCCTTTTTTGGGGTCTTTTTTGATGCCAGTTTGGATAGGAAGATGAAAAGAAAAATCATTCTTGGGCTTTGTTTGCTTTTAGTATCTTGATAAATCCTTATGACAGTTGGCTAAATCCATAAAGGCTTGTTGAAACTTTGGTGTCCTTTATAAAAGGATGTCGTAGAAAAGTGTGCATGTAGTTGGGCCTCTATCCCAGCCCAGCTTTTAGGTGAGTGGAGAAGGATGCTCCAGAGTCCCAAGTCTTTGACTTCTTTCCTTGTTTTGGGGGAAGAGTGTGGTATTTATATCCCACCTTCATTCATTCTCTTACTGATGCTGTCTTGTTGCTTAGCACATCAAATACAGCTTTTTGTAAACAGATTTGCTTTCTTTTGCTACTGAAGTGGTTGATTTAATGACATAATGAGGGATTATAAGATCAAAGAAATTAAAACGTTAAAGGAGAACTAAATACTTCTGTTCCAGTCTCCTTTGAACAGAGTTTCATTGTCAGAGATCAGACTGGTGCTACAACTTGTTTGTTGAAATCAGACAGTGTTAGACACTTCATAAGGGATGGAAGAAACCATATTAGGGATTTGCAGACATCTAACCACTGTTTGGCTTCTGCCTTGAAGTGTGAGACCTTAAATCCTGAGCTTTGTTTGTACTCTGTAGTCTAATTATGGATGTTGTTGTTCCTGTAAACACCTACATACTTCTAACTTTTGTATAGTGTTGCTAATTGGTATAATAACATCTTGAGGCAGGGCGTTCTACAGGGTATTTTACCAGGCATGAGAAGCTTCTTCCTGTTTTCATTTTTAGTTGTATTATTTTCTAATTTTCCAGGCTTTCCTCTTGTTTTGGCTTGGTGAGATTGGATAAGCCCAAATTCCCCATACAAAAAGATTGGACTGTGCAATTACACTCTGAATATCTGCTGATGTACATCCTGCACATGGAGAGAACAAGGTGTTTGCCAGAAATTTTTCAGCAATGAGTCTCCCAGGCTGGTGGTGATGATCTGGGGTTGCCACCACTGAATAGAGCTGGGGTGATGACTCAGGAGAAACTGGAGGGAGACACCACTGACATATCCTGTCCTCTGTAGCAGTGCTCATCACTGTTTTCCCACCTCCAGGTGAAGGGTCAGCAGTTTCAGCAGGCTGCCATGGAGCTACAACTCACCCCTTTCAACGTACTTCTGCGCACAACACTGGACCTGCTGCAGGAGAAGGATGCTGCCCAGATCTTTGCAGAGCCTGTTAACCTGAACGAGGCAAGTCTCTTTCCTAGAGGTGCCTAATGGGTTTTAGATGAGGTAGTGCTGGGCAGAAGCTCGCGTGCTGTCATAGCCCTGGAAGCCACCTTATCCCAAGCTGCAGGTGGACTAAAGAGTATCTCAAAGAGGACTCACAATGGGGCACTCTTCTGGGCCAGAAATAGGGTGTTGCTTTCTGGAAGCTTCAGCACGTCTCAGTAATGTTTTGCAGAGCCAGGATGTGTCTGCCTTGACTGAGTGATACAGAAATGAACCACTGGTGCTGCCCTTTGCTGGTGGAAAGGGCACTGAGTGCTTATGATGGATGCGCTCTGGTTGGCTAGTAAATGGTTTTTGTAATTGTACAGGTTTTATATGTTTAGGTTCCAGATTACCTGGAATTCATTTCCAACCCAATGGATTTTTCCACCATGAGGCGGAAGCTGGAGTCTCACCTGTACCGAACATTGGATGAGTTTGAGGAAGACTTTAACCTTATAGTTACCAACTGCATGAGGTATAATGCTAAAGACACGATTTTCCACCGAGCAGCTGTCCGGCTCCGAGACCTCGGAGGAGCGATACTGCGCCATGCACGGCGGCAGGCTGAAAGCATCGGCTTTGACACTGATGTGGGGATTCACCTGCCTGAGTCACCCAAAACCGAGGACTTTTACCGCTTTTCTTGGGAGGATGGTGAGTGTTAGCCTTTGGTTTTTTCAGGTACATCATAACTGTGTTCTTTGTTCTGAGCGTGTCACTCAACCCGCCGGAAATCAGAGCCATCATTCAGCTTTCCTATCCATCTGTTTACCTAAGTATGTATCTAACTCCTTTAGAGCCTCAAAGGGCAGGATTTCAGGTGTGCCGGGCATTCTGAGCTAGGTGCAGCTTAGGAAGAAGTTCTTCCCCATGAGGGTGCTGAGGCACTGGAACAGTCTGCCCAGAGGAAGTGGTGAATGCTCCGTCCTTGGCAGTGTTCAAGGCCAGGTTGGGGACAGGGGCTTGGAGCAACCTGGTCTAGTGTGAGGTGTCCCGGCCCAGGGCAGGGTATTAGAACTGGATGATCTTAAGATCCTTTCCAACCCAAACCATTCTATGATTCTATGCCTGTCTCAGAAGAGCTTTGTAACTGCCCATGCTGTTTGATTTGTGCCATGGCTGTAGTATGAACTTGGTATTTTAAAGAGCAGGGCAAAAATGGATCTAGGATTTCTTTGCTCTGAGGGAGGCCTGTGCATTTCATTATAAATTGGCAAGGTGCAAAGCAACTGGGTTTGATGGAGCACTGAGGGCTGGGAGGAGCTTGATGTAGGGTTAATGTCCTGGGACACAAGGCAGTCTTTCTAGCTGAGACTTCCCATTCACAACACGACCACTGCCATCTGGAGATGCAGCTCGAAACCATTGGATGAATAGCTTGGCTAAATTTAGCATAGGATATTGCTGCCATCCAGCACGTAGAGCTTGCAGTCTGCCATCCAGTTCGTAAATGTTGCAGGCCTTTTAGATGCAGATGTCTGTTAGGAAACTTGTGTATATGGGAACACGTCTGTCAGCTGTCTGCCCCACTCCTGCAGATGCCAGCCCTTCAGCAGAGCCAGAGGAATGGCAAACATGTTATGTTTTGACCAGTTCTGTTTGTGGTCTGATTTTGTTGTTTAATCTGGCAATGAAATAGGTTTCTGCCAAGGACCTGCACTGTGAACTGTCACGGGTGCAGATGTATGTCCTTTCACTGTTGCCCCTGGGACGGTAATGGGAACTGGAGGGTGGAGCAAGTTAAATCAGCTGCTCTGTACCCAAATGAAGGAAGTCTGAGCTCCAAGGTTAACATGTGCAGAATCCCCAGACTAAAGCAATTGCTTCATGAATAGTATCAAAGAGAACGAGGCATGGCAGTGGTCCCAAAAGCTTCTTCAAGAAGCCTTACTCCTTCCCTTCACTGTTACAATCTCTTTCGATGCAGTGGATAACATCCTCCTCCCAGAGAACCGGGCTCACCTCTCCTTGGAGGCCCAGCTGAAGGAGCTTCTGGAGAAGCTGGACATGGTGAGCACCATGCGGTCCAGCGGTGCCCGGACGCGACGTATCCGGCTTCTGAGACGGGAGATCAACTCCATTCGGCAGAAGCTGGCCCAGCAGCAGAACAAGACCATGCCCAATGGGGAGCCTGTGCTGAGGGAAGAGGGGCTGGATAAAACACCAAGGGATGGGGATGAGGAAGGGGAGAAAGGTAAGAGGTTACAACAGTATGCAGGAGTACTGTATGCAGTTCTGGTGTCCTCAACATAAGAAAGACATGGAGCTGTTGGAGCAAGACCAGAGGAGGCCATGAGAATGATAAGGGGGCTGGAGCACCTCCTGTATGACAGGCCGAGAACATGGGGATTTCAGCCTGGAGAACACCTGCATGGTGACCTCGGAGCAGGTTCCAGTATCTGAAGGGGGCTACAAGGATGCTGGAGAGGGACTCTTCATCAGGGACTGTAGTGATAGGATAAGGGGTGATGGGTTCAAACTTAGAGAAGGGAAGTTCAGGTTAGAGATAAGGAAGAAGTTCTTTACTATGAGTGTGGTGAAGCACAGGCTGCCCAAAGAAGTAGGAATGCTCCATCCCTGGCAGTGTTCAAGGCCAGGTTGGACAGAGCTTTAGGCGACAGGGTTTAGAGTGAGCCATCCCTGCCCACTGCAGGGGGTTGGAACTGGATGATCTTAAGATCTTTTCCAACCTAAACTACTCTATGATTCTATGATTTTAGCTCCAGCTCTCTAGTGCATGTCAGCAGTCAAGACCTGCTGTTTCTTCTATCTGTAGCCTTTGTGAAAGATGGGAATGGCTGTGGAATAACTCTTTGGGAGTTTTGGGAAATAACTATTTCTAGGGTGTTCAAGCAGATTCTTTATTCCTTTAACAGATGATTCCAAGCCCCCGCACCCTCCAACCCTGGAGCCCACAGGACCTGCACCCTCCCTCTCAGAGCTGGACTCTCTACAGGACCCTCCAAAACTCAAACCCATCAGTGAAAGCAAGTCCTTGAACCAGCTGCAGAAGAGGGTGGTGTCGGACAGGGAGCTCTTTGACAAGAAGGCTCTGCAGCGGGAGAGCCAAGCCTTCCAGCGCCTGCTCAGTGACAACGGGCTCAACGGGCTGGCCTTGCCCCCTGCAGACACCCCCTCCAGCCCTGCCTTCAGTGGTGTGGGCCGACGGACATCTGTCCTGTTCAGAAAGGCTAAGAATGGAGTGAAGCTGCAGAGGGGCCTGGACTGCTCTCTGGAGAACGGGGAGGACCAGCAACTTTCACCCTCCCGCCCCGACGGGGAGCAGCAAGCCCGGAAGCGGCCTCAGAGCAGGACCTGCAGTGAGAGTGATGGAGAGAAGTCACCCAGGCAGGCAGGACAGAGAGGTAATTGCTTGGGATTTCTCTTCCTTTTGAATCCTTGGGAACTGTGTGATGGGGCTGAGGGATTGGGAGTCTGAAGTAAAGACATTTGCATCCAAACTACTCACCTGAAACTCCCTTTATGCTTGGGGGAAACAGTGTCTGTTGTCAGACGTGCCTGGTGAAAGCTCCAGCTCTTCCACACGTGTCTGAAATAGGGCAGACAAGATCAGGATTGTCAGAACAAGATGCTCCTTGTGGCACTTACATATTTACAGGTAGAAAAACCAGTAGTGGCTTTGGCATGAATTTGCCCTTTGTATGGCTAATGGGGAACCTGGTGGTGGTGGTACCTTGGATGGGAGAAGGCATTTCTTGTTCTTTGGGCTTGGGGATGCTCACTGGGGTCATTCCCTGTCCATCCCACCCGTCCCTGGTTGTGGGATCTTGTCTAAGCTTGGAGATGATGCCAGCTCTCTGTGTAGGCATCTCTCTGGTGCACAGAGCAGTAAACCTGTCAGTGAAGAGAAGATAGCCAGCATCTGGGGCAAAGAAGTGGAACATTCCCCTTACAGCTACAGTGACAGAGAGGAAGGTGGTGGTGAGCTGCCTTCTGCCCAGGGGCAATTTGCTCTGTCCACTGGAAAACCTTGTTCCCAGAAACTGAAACCAGTTTTTCCTAGAGCATTTTTCTCTCAGCACCTCTTCCAAATGATACTTGGAAGCCAGATGAGCAAGTGGTTCATTTCCTGGCCTCTGGGCTTCCCTGGTGAGCTGGCTCTCCTGTTCCATCCCTGGGCACTTCTCTAGCACTTATTTCTTCAGAGACTGCCTGATTTTTCATGTGTTACGGGTAGAAATACCTCTTATTGGCCACCTTTGCAGCTGAGTCTGGGGAACTCAGTACAGAATTTTCCTCTGTGGCTGAAGCACCCATCTTTGTGGATGTGAGTCATGGGACAGTGACCCCACTTGAGCCTTGGTAGCATCTTTGTGTTTTACTGCTTCTTCTCTGGACTGATTCCCACTTGTCTCCTTGGCAGGAGTGACCAATGGCTTTGTGAAGCACACAGAGAGTGGCTCTGACTCCGAGTGCAGCTCTGGCCTGGGCAGTGGGCTGGTGTTTGAAGCCTGCAGGTAAGTGCTCCATGCAAAACTGTCCCCAGAACACCTTCTGTGTCTGGATTAATCAGCCTTGTTTTATTGTTCAACCTCTTTGTTTCAACCCCAACCCAAACTGTTACTTCTTTTGTGTGTTGACCCTAAAAGACAAAGACCAGAACTAGGCACTTCAAACAGGCCTGAACAGACTTAAAGCAAATGTCTGTCATCTTTTGGTCTGATGTTGGGGTACCATATCTATTGTCTGGTCTTATCTACCTGTCCAGCCCTCCTCACACTGACTCTAGTAATTTCACAGCCCTTTTACTGCATGGTAAAACCTGCATTTTGCCACCATCACCACTGTGTGTGGCAGACTGAGCATATTGGACCTCGATGGGTAAGATCATCCAGGACAGGCAGAAGCACAACTTTCTTATTGATATTCTTAGTAATATTTTCAGTGCCTTGAACATGTTGTTGCCCTCTGCTTGTCTTTGATGACACAGAGGATGACCCATCACTAGAGAAATATGTTCAGACATTTCCTCCCAATGCACGTACTCAGTTAGTCCTGTAAGATTTCAAGCTTGCAATGTCAGTTGTGCACTTTTACAATCATAAAACTCCCCATGTTCACCCATTCTCGGGTCTGAACATACAAACTATGAGCTGTGTAACACCTAATTCTGGTTGGATCCCAGGAGCATTTTTCAAATGAAAACTTCACTCTGCTCTGCAGAGTGATCCTAAATGTTGGTTGTCAAAAGAGGTGGATAATTTTGCAGTTGTAGCTAAGGTTTGATTAGTGTTTCCATTATAAATCTGTTCACAAAGGCTTTTTGTGCCCTTGATAAAGGGCAAGGCCCTGGGTTCAGAGGAGCAGTTTTGGTGCCAGGGCTTTGTCCTGTGGCAGAGGGATCCCACTCCACAGTCAGGTCCCAGGCAGCCCGAGGGAAGCACGGGGCACCACAGTAAATGATTTCTCAGCACAGGCTGAGCCCCTTGGAGGAATGAGACCTCCAGCTTTTCTCTGAGGTGAGAAACCCACCCATTTCTTCATCTCTCCCCTCTTCTCTGGGCTGTGTGCCCACATCTTCAGCTCAGTCATTGCCTCTTCTGTAAGCCTGTGCAGATCTCACCAGAAGCTCATTGCAGGAGGGCTGGACTAAAAGGCTTTTGAAGTTCCCTTCCAGCCCAAACTATTCTGTGATTCTATTGCAATAAACTGTTGTCAAGTGAAGAGCTGCATCACAGGGAAAAAAAGGAGAGACCTGGATTCACACATAGTTACAGTGTCATTTAAATGAGGGCCCTTGAGTCATGCAGAAACCCTTCACTGGGTGAGGGTACTGTCAGAACAGGACCAGGAGCAGAAACTTCCTTTCAAACTGTGTCTTGGCCTTATGGCCACACTGAACTTGCCTCTGTTTCCCCCTCTGTAAGCAAGGGAAACAAACTGGAATTCACAGGGGAGTGTGGGGACTTGTTAGTTGGTGTTTGTATGGTATTTTGAAGATGAAACCTGTGATATAAGTGCTTACGACTATAATTGCCAGCAATTCACATAGCAAAAATTACATTAGAGCTACGTGACACCCACAAAACAAGGAATTAAAACATGTCTCATGGATAACTTGCACAATTACTCTGTTCAGGAACTGCTCTGTTTACTCCCTTTTCTCCAGTCTCTCCTTTTGAGCACCAGATTCACCCAGAATGGGTTATTAGAAAACTTTAAAAGAAAAACAGAAAAAAATCCTCAAGAAGTGGAAAAAACATGATTGCTTGAGGTGGAGATAGTCAGTTTGCTATCTCTAATATTGTGGTGATGAGGTGAAGGCCGTGGGCTGAGAGAGAGAGTCCCAACTGCAGAGATATGCTCCATCCTTGGCAGTGTTCAAGGCCAGGTTGGGGAGCATCTTGGGTGACATGGTCTAGTGTGAAGTGTCCTGCCCATGGCAGAGGGGTTGCAACTAGATGATCTTAAGATCCTTTCCAACCCAAACCATTCTATGATTCTATGGGTCTATGACTGATTCTATGTTGGAGCTATGTTGGAGGGCTGCTCAATTGTCTCTGAAGTCGGTACCCGACTGGGTGAGCTCATGTAAGCTCCAAACATCATATCAGCTCTTCAGCATGAGGTCTTTGCTGGCTTGCTTTCTCATGTTCATAGCTTGGTTTCTGGTAGGCCTCTTTCATTGCTCGTGGCAAAGCTGGGATGGTGTCCAGTGTACTTGCACCAGAAGAGATGTATAGATGACATTTTGCTCAAGGAGTCACTGTTCTTTTCATGTCAGTGATGTTCCAGTGTTTAAAACAGAGCTGGGGAATCCATTTCTTTGGCTTTGTTTTCAAGGGTAATCTGCTTTCTCCAAATGCCTTACTTTTCCATATCTTTCCAACAGTGGTTTGATGCCTCCCAAGAGGAGTCGAGGGAAGCCGGCTCTTTCTCGAGTGCCCTTCTTGGATGGTGTGAATGGAGACTCTGATTACAGCAGCTCAGGTGAGAACAGCTCTACAGCACAGCCTGCTCTGGTCCCAACACTCCATCTGAACCAAGAGGAGCAGGTCTCAATGCAGGAACCAGTCCTGGGTGAAGTACCCAGATTGTACTGTCAGGCTGCTTACCTGCCCATGCATTGCTGCCTGCTTGGTTACAAGTGTAGGTTATTGTATAAAAGGATTTTCCTACTTCCACATTTGCTGGTGTTCTCCTCAGCTGGGTGCTTTCTGTAGGTCTGGTGTGTATAATGTACCTGGCACTGTCTTCACCTGTTCTGGGACTAGTTCTCTTCAGTGGTGCTGCAATACAAACAGTAAATCATCATTTTATGTAAGAGAAGTCTCTCTGGAGATGACTTCGTGGCTGCTCCCTCTTGTATTGCTGTCATTGCTTTCAATGTCTTTGTAACAAAGTCATCTTTGCCAGACTGTGCTGTACAGCTGGAAAATTAAGTCACACTCCTCTAGTCCTACCCAAGGCACTACACCAATCTTGCAGTGCTCACATGAGCAGATTCTTGTCCTTCTTACAGTGTCTCAGTACTCGAGTTACTGCAGGTTTATGCTGAAATCAGAACTCAGCTTTGTATCCCTGGTACTCTCCGTACAGCTCCGGTGTGCTGGCTCCTATCTCCTTGGGAGCCATTATTATCCCAGACCCCAGGCACTCAACAGGCTGCTTTGGAGATAAGCTGACAGAGCAGGGCTGGTGCTGGGAGAATTAGAATCAGTGGGAGAATTCTGTGGTTTAGAACATCATTTCATTATGGAGGAATGCACCTGGAATGCAGTAGTGGAGAAGCACATCAGATCCGTTTGGCACGGAGCTCTTTTGGGTCATACTTAGTGTTTTCTAGATTCAGTTTGACTCCTGGTAAAGCCAGTGTTAGACCATTTCCTCCCCAGAGCAAGCACTACTGCTGTAAAATTCACATGAATGGAGATTACTCCTTTTCCAGGATCAGGAGCTGGTAGATGAGTTACTCATGTGTTGAATGGGTCCTTTGCCATGCCATACTTCTGACAAGTTTGAAAAATTAATGGTTAATAGTCTTCTGTCCATTAGAACCAGGCATTTCCCACAGTCATCTAATAGCCCCACAGTATTATGGTATTAGAATAGTCTAGAGATTTGTGTTTAGGAGGAGTTAAAATGAGCTGTCTGAACAGTGGTTCAAAGTAACCTCAGATACAGCTTCATCAGTTCCGTTGAGGATGGATTTGGCTTGGTGGAGCCTAAGGGACCAAATTCATCTCTCATATACCCATTTGATTTCAGTGGTACAGCAGCTGTTCACTCCAGAACTGAATTTGATTCATAGTTCCATATTGAAGAGTTCATCTGAAGCTACATGCACTAATAGACTTAGACCCATGATTTAGGAGACTGTGGCTTTATCTTAATGCAGAACGTGACTGTATTGACAGAGCATAAAGCTGGACATTCACTGTGGACAGGCTGGATCTCACTGCACCTTACATTTTACCATAAACTTACTGCAGATGAGATCTTCCTTACTGCAGAGAGGCCTTATCACATCTGGTTTGGATACTCAATGCATGTAGGTGCAAACAATGAACAGCTTTCCATTTTCCTCTAGATCTTGGTTAAGAGAAATTGCTTGAGATTATGCAGATGATTAAACAACAAAGAGCTGGACAATAGGTTTGTTATGAAAAAAGGTGGAATTCCAGCTTTCTGCTTGCTGCAGGAGCAAATAAAAGAAGAAACAGAAATATTGTCAGTATGTTCTAAGTACAAGAGTGGTTCATCTGTTGAAGCTGATTGCTGCTGAGACAGTGCAGGCCATCACACCCAGGTTAGATGACAGTGTGGTTTCTTGTATTACCATAACCCCCTGGCTAGCAGTCACCCTTCTAAGCCATGTCTCCTTTATCCCTTAGGCAGGACTCTCCTGATGTCTTTTGAAAATCAGGCTGAGCTGGAGCCCTTGGAGCTCGTGTGGGCCAAGTGCCGTGGCTACCCCTCCTACCCTGCCTTGGTAAGTACACCACTGCTTTCATGCATCCTGTACCTGCATTGCAGGTAGCCCAGACACAGTGGTAGGGCTCAGTGTAACCAAGCAGAACAGGAAAACTTCCCAAAGTCATGCAGTGTGCCCTTATTATTTCCTTTTCCCTTTGCACAGGGAATTTTCCCTGTCCTCACTGTTTCCAAGCACTGCAGGGGATTCATAAAACATTGATCTCTCGGTGCCAGGAACAGGAGGAGATCTTTCCTCTCCTCTCCTCTCCACTCTGTAGGGATTGGGAAAGTGATCAGTACTGCTGGCATGAGAAGACCTACATTTTACAAAGGCAGGCACCAGGTTCCACTGGTGCCCAACTGCCTGCACGGTTTCCTGTATAGTGAGTACAGCTCCCTATGGTCTTGTGAGGGACATACTCTCTTCCAGTAACCAGTTTGATGGTTTGATTTAAATATGAGAATATATTCATGTGTTTGCATCTAGTCCTTTGAATGATAGTTCCTTAACATTTATCCATCTTTGGATATTTGACTGTTTTAAGGTGAAATCCATAAACCTGGCTTCAGTTCCAAAGCCAGACACAACATGCAGTTGTTGCTAGGAAGTGCCAGTCCCACTGCAGGCTTTTATGTGTTAAGTTATTGACAGAGATGGCTGAAGTGAGTATATAAATAAGAACATGGGATAGAACAACATTTTGGGTTTTCTGCTACTTTTAAATAGATCCCTCGAGATGTGGCTCTTCTGCCATCTCTAAGTGGGAGCCCACAGGAGGGAACAGCTATGGATCTGCTGGCTTTGTCGGCCAGCCAAAGCACTTTTAGATCTCTGTGTTGCTATAGCCAGAGTTAAACTGTGTGTTAACATGGATTTAACCACTGAGATTGCCCCCCCCAAAAGGCATATTTCTGTAACAACAGTCTCTTGCAGTGCTGAAGTGTCTCCAATTCCTGCAGTTGGCCAATATCAAAGGCAAGCTGCTTTTCGAGCCCTTAGGAGCCAAGATCAGGAGGCAAACAGGAGCAGATTGAGTGTTGTGCACATGGCAGGGGGTTGGAACTAGATGATCTTTAAGGTCCTTTCCAACCTGAACCATTCTCTGATTTTGTGATTGTGTCCACCCTTTGCTTCTTCTCCCATGATCACATAGCAGAGATGTCTGACACTGACTTCTGCTTTATACGGGGAGACTCACTGTGTCTGTTGTTACTCCCCTCCAGTGACCCCAGTCTGTGTTCCCCATCCCTGACAAAGCTGTCACTGCTCATCCACTCTCTCAGAATGTTGACCCTGGTTCTGCTCTAGTAGCAGAATAAATCTGAACAATGCCACTGAAGTCAACTGGACTGCACTGGGATGGAGCTGGTGTCAACCTCACTGTGCCTACTGCCTACAGCAGTGGTGTTACGTTTGTTGTATGCATTTGGAATGAGGGAGGGAAATCCTTCATTGAACACAGTGATACTGAGTTTCTACTAAATTACAATTGGTGTAAATGCATCTACATTCTCACAGAACCACATACTTACAGCTTCTTCCTTTTTTAACATAAGGTGCTTGACTTTTGGACTGAGTGGTTTCTCTTCCACAGGGGAAGACAAAAAGAGCCGCTGAGACAGAACATTCCGCTTACACGTCCCAAGTAGATCTTCATCGTCTAGCTTGGATAGATTGAAAGAAAAGAGAAAGAAAATGCATTTTCTGCAGTACTTGAAGGGGTTTGTACTTAACTGTCTTTTCCCTGTGTCACTAGATAATTGATCCCAAGATGCCACGTGAAGGTTTGCTCCACAATGGGGTCCCCATCCCAGTTCCACCCGTGGATGTGTTGAAGTTGGGGGAGCAGAGGCAGACAGAGGCAGGAGAAAAGCTCTTCCTCGTCCTTTTCTTTGACAATAAGAGAACCTGGTGAGTGCTGTGGCAGAGGGGGAAGATTTAACATAATCTCTGGTACATGGGAGCATGCAGGGATTATGATGATGGTGATGTTACAGGAAAATTGGAGATTTTAAACAAGAAGCAGTCAAGCAGAGTCATAAGGAAGGCAGCATGCTTTTCCTGGCACAAAAGCATGACATCTAACATGGTGAACAGCCCAGCATCCTTCACCCAAGGCTCACATCACCACAAAAATACTGAGGCACATGGAGAACCAATTTAATAGTCCAAATCCGCAGCAGATTCGAGAAAGCATTTGACTTTAAAACTCCAGGAGACTGAGCAGCCAGTTCCAGTGCTGCACAAAAGATTGGCCAAAAATCTCCAGGGTAACATTTTCCAAATGCTGGATTTATTCCGAAATCTCCAGGGTAACATTTTCCAAATGCTGGGTTTAGTCCATATTTAGACTTGCCTGATTTTGTCAGAGGTGCTGAGTACCTGCACTTTTCAAATCAAGGTATTTATGTAAGATGGAAATGCAGATGTAAGCAACTGGTTCAGGGCAAGTGAAATACCTCAAGGCCTGATCTACCTCAGACTGACTCTGCTGATTTTATTGTCAGTGGCTGACCACGTTACCATGCTCACATGGAAACAATAACTCTGCCACATCCAATAAGCCACAAACCAGTGATGTGCCTCAAAAAATAAAGCTTTGAAATGCATGCGTGAAGCAGTAGGAAAATTGGAACACGTGGAGAATTATGCTGGAAGAGGTGAGTCCCTGCAATGAGGCAGCAGGCACATGCTGAACCCACTGGATGCAAATGCTGCAATGGACCATGACTTTAAAAAGGAGCCTAGTGGTGCTTTGAGAGCCCTTTTCCTTCTTAGTCTCCATGGGAAGGTCTTTGCTGGCATCCTTAGAAGAGCAAGGAACCAGGAGATCAGGGAAGGGCAAGGGGATGAAGGAAGGATGTGAACATTGCCCCTCTTGGGGAAGCTGAGAAGGGGATCATGTTTGCATCACTTGATGGGTATGTTTGTGTCCTCTGGGGAAAAGAGGTGCCAAGGGACACGCTCCTGAGGCTTTTTATTAGTACAGTGCATTGTTTCACTGTCCCTGATTACCAGAACCACTTGGTACAGGGCATGCTCTTCAAAGAGGTACTAATGAACAGTGTTTAGCAGAACATCAGTGGCAGTGCCGTGCTTCCTGGTGCTGTAGTCATCAGTTCTCACAACACCTAAATCCAAGCTTGAAATTGAAACTACCTTCCCAATGAAAATCACCATTTCCTTGGCTTTGCCCTGCTCTGGTGGATGTTTACACTCTTAAGGAGCCACTTAGAGTGGGTATGAGAGCCAGGCACGTTGGAGCAGTTGCTGCCTGCAAGGAGCTCGGGAGGCCCTTAGTGACAGGGGTTAGTGGTGGCCTTGGCAGTGCTGGGGAATGGCTGCACCTTGATGATCTTAAAGGTCTTTTCCAACCTTGATTCTATGGTTACGAGGGCAGGAGGCCTTCAGGTCTTTGCTCTTCCTTCCCCCTTCCCCTCTGGATGCTCTTGGTGATGGGACTTTGCACTCTCTATTGCAGGCAGTGGCTTCCACGTGACAAAGTCTATCCCCTCGGTGTGGACGACACAGTGGACAAGTTAAAGATGATGGAAGGACGGAAAACCAGCATCCGCAAGTCTGTGCAGGTGGCATATGACCGAGCCATGATCCACATGAGCCGTGTGCGGGGGGATCATCCCTTCCTTACATCCAACTACCTGTAAGGGCTCGGGGTGGCTGGTCCTCCTTTTCCTCCAGAGCCCGCGCCCGCTGTGGCGGCAGAGCGGATCACTGCGTGCACTGACCGGCCGGGGGACACCAATCCCAGCAGCTGTCAGCACTCCTTGAAGTACCCTGAAACGTGCCAAAAAGCCTGTCCAGCTTCTTTCTGAATGTGTCTCACTGAAGAGCTGGCAGGAGGTGAAATGTAGAGTCTACAGGGCCGGGAGGAAGGTAGTTAGGAGAAGCTGCCAGCGACGGGAGCCAAGGTGAGCCGATGCAGTGAGCAGAGCTGGGATGTTTGGACCTCGGGCACCTCCCTCGGGGGGTTTTAAGTCATCAGCCAGCCCTGAGTAATTCCCAGGAGCCCGCGACCACTGTAACTGAACCAGGATCCTTTATGGAAATCCCAACTGGACTTTCTTGTGCCAAATTTACCCAAACCATCATTGGCCTTTTCATTTTCCTTTGTTTTAAATGACGTTGATTGTCCCATCACATTCAAAACCAAAAGGCGTAGCTGGGCGTTCACCTTCTGATCTTCCTGCCTACGTCCATAGTGTTTTCATGTTTGATTTCTCTCATTTCGTTTAGAAAAGCTGAGATATTTTGGTAACCTTCCCCTCTGCTGCACACACTTACATGAAAGAGCTTTAAATACGGAAAGCAAAGTACCTGAGTTGTGTGTGTGTGTGTATGTCCTAGAAATTTCCTTGGTAGTTTCACATTTAGATGCTGATTTCTGTGACTGTGCTTGTTCCAGCAACATTTCCTATCATGGTTTAGTACAGAACTGAGTCTAAGCAAAGAGAGCTTCCTTCTTTTAAGAAGCAAAACTAATTTTGGAGGTGTCTGATGAGCTGGAGCAGCTTTGCAGGCACTGAGGTTGATCAGGGTTGGAGGGAGATACATCTTTTGTGTTGCTTTATGCACATTTGGTGTAAGGCTCCTCTTCTTTTCTTCCCTTTTTTCTGTCTCTAATGTGTTTCTCTAGCTTGGGTTGGGTTGAAACCAAGCACTAAATAGAGCACATGACCATTTTGCCTTTCCTTCTCCCACACACAAGTATCTGTTCCCTGGTGTGTGGGTCTCCAGCATTGTCATCCATTAAATCCCAAGTGAGCCCAGCTCTGCAGACAATCCCTGGCTTTGTGGGTTTGCATTGCAAAAACCAGGGACAACTCGTGTTTGGAAACTTGATGACAAAAATCTTTTCTATTAGCCAAGGACTTGGTGATTTCTTGTGCTGTGTATCCCTTTTTGCTTTCCCATGTGAAGAACCAAAGGTGCAGAGCAAGATTGTAGATTGAATTATCATCATTTCGCTTTTTAACTCAATATTTTTTTATTGTTTTAACTTTTTCATACTGAAGAGAATGTGTGTGGGGGTGTCAAAATAATAATAATAATAATAATTGCTAGTGACTAGTGGGGAGTAATCACTGCCATTTCTACTTGGTCTACTTTTTTAAGATACCACTTCTTATAGATTGGGACGTGGAACCACACTTTAAGGAAGAGATTCCTGTAACATAAAGAGATGGGGCATAGGATTTTGTAAAAATAGTAATATTAATAATGCCTATGGAGTGTGGCAAGGGAAGGATGATGTGTAAATAGCTGTAAAATACTGTTCTAAATTATTTAGACCTCTTGTCACCATTCTTGAAGTCCTCAGTTGTGTTGCTGGGTCTTTTATATGCACACAGTGTAATTTATTTAAAGGAACATACACTTTGCCGGGTGGTAGCTCAGCTGTGGACTTGTGACCTGTGTATATGTTCTAAGATCTTGGGAGTTGGGGTTTTGGGGGGTTGGTTTGGTTTTGAAATGCCATTTTAGGCTTGGAAGTGGCTGATACCCTGCTGTTGCTCCGGGACCCAAACATTACTGTCAGTCTGCTGTAAAGCACAGAGCGCTCTATTTATTGTAGAAAGTGAGTTTATTTGCTTTCTAGAATTGTTTATATCAGATGGTATAAGAGAAGTAATAAGAAAATCTATGCTTGAAAAGAAGATGCTAATTTTACCTACTATAATCTGACTGTCTGAGACTATATTTTCTCTCTGAGAAATAAATGTTCTAATGTATAAAAGCAGAGTCCTTCCTTGCTAGTGTTGAACTGAGATCAAGGTCATCGCTCATCGTGGTGGCTTTTGTTCATCCCAGTCATCCCAGATGCAGGTGGAAGGAGCAATGACAGGGAAGGCACACATGGAAGAAGCATCTCCAGAAGGTGTTTGCTCCTTGTGCAACAGGTGACAGCATTTGGGTGCTGCAGGATGGGAGCCCTCTGGGCTGGAGCTGGCTGAGAGCCCTTAGAGGGATGGGAATTGGGAATATGGGGCTTCAATCCCATCTCCTGGTGATGCCCTTGGTGAGCCTGGGGGTTTCTCAGCAGTGCTCTTGCGTTGTCTCTTCCCAAAGATGCATTTTCCCTCCAGCACAGGCTGCAGGTGGTGCTGCACCATCTGGGCCCCTCTCATGCAGACCCTGTTTCCCTGGAGGCTGCTGCTCCCTGAGGATGCCGGAGTCATTCTCATCCACTACAAGCACGAAACCCTTCTGGGGACAGAGGCACAGATCCACTACTGTGCCCCAAAACCCTGCAGGAGCCAGGGGAGGCTTTTCCCTTCCTTTCCCCCACATGGTGCTGTCAGCCTCAGCATCACAAATCCAGCAGGAGACACATGAAGTCACCTCTTTCAAGGCCTTATCCTGGCTCTCACCGCCTGCCCTACAGCATGTCCCCTGCCTCTGGGCTCAGACAACTACCAGCCTGAAACATGAAGAGCTCCAGCTGCTGCTGATCTCCCATCCCAGCCCCTGTGGGGCTGTCGTGGTCCCAGACCCTCAGCATCACAGAATGGTTTGGAAAGGACCTTAAGATCATCCAGTTCCAACCCGCTGCCTTTGCTCATCTCCAACTGATTCTGAAATTAAATTCCCATTTGCCCCCTTTACAGGTTTGCCCCTTTGATGCATCAGCCTTTAATCTGAAGGCAGAGCTCCATGGGTTTGCAAACCTGGATTTGTCCTGCCTGGATCCAGCATCTCCCAGAACGGCTGCCAGTGGCACCTTTGCCTGAGACTGGTGATACATTTCCAGTGGTGCAAGGAATGCTTTCTGGCAGAGGAGTTTCATAGAACTATGGGTTGGAAAAACCTTTAAGCTCATCCAGTCCAGCCCTTCCCCAGCGCTGCCAAGGCCACCACCAACCCCTGCACTGAGGCCTCGTCTACCCGGGCTGTGAACACGGAGGGACGGTGACTTCAGCCCTGCCCTGGGCAGCCTGTTCCAATGCCTGAGCACCCTCTGGGCAAGGAATTGTTCCTCAGCTCCAACTAAACCTGCCCTGGGGCAGCTTGAGGCCATTTCCTCTTGTCCTGTCACTTGTTCCGACCCCAACCTCATTTTACCCCCCACCTCACCCCCACTTCCATTTCCCCTTGATTCCCAGGGTGCTCCTGCCAGTTCTTGGCACTCTTACCAGAGCTGGTGCACTGCAATTCAAATGCCTTCATGGTTTAAAGCAAATCCAAGCTCCTTATCACCATTCCTACCCTTTTCCCAAGGGCAGCTGGTTTGATGGGTACAAACACCCCCAATTTCCCAAGGTCCCGCACCCACTGCAGCACCCCAGGAATGTGGCTCCTTCCTCCTGTTGCTGCACTCTCCCCTCACCCCCCCCGATGCCCTGTGCTGGGATTTGATGGATTATTTTGGGGACTGAAAGGAAAAAAAGAGAAAAAAATTCGGTAAGAAGTAGGTAAATTTTACTGCATCTCAAGCCTTCACAGCTTGTTTTGGATTCCTGTAACAGGAAGGTTCAGTGGTGCACAGTGTGCCCAGGCTCAGGGAGAGCTGCAGGGGATGGGGAAGGTATTAAAAGGGGAATTCTTCAATTTACTTTCTACCATTTCCACCTGTTGCAAAATCAAGGAGGATTTAGCAACAAGAAGGATGTTGGGCAGCTGCTTCTCCAGTGGAAAGCACCGGAAAAGAGCATCCATGGACCTACCTCATCCCAGTTGCTGCCCCTCGACCTCCCTGCTGGCACGTTAATAAACCAGCTTCCCCCTCCCAACCTGTCTTTTCCTCTTTAACAAATGAAATGGTGACTTCCCAAACGGTTCCGCAGCTCAAAGGTTTCCATGACAATGGCATCTTCCAGCTGCAGCATCAGCTTCACCCCCCAGGCCTGAAATGGAGGGAGATGGGAGTGGGGCAGGGAGGGTGGTGAAGGGGATGTCTCAGCACCCGTTTTTGGGT